CCCCAGGCCGTTGTAAGTTATGACATCCCTGGGCTGGTGGTCCTGGGTTCTACACGAAAGCAGGCTGAGCCACCAGGGAAACCTTTTTCTCCTCCACTTGCTTTCGATCATGGTGTCCCTTTGCAGTAACAATAAGTCTAACTGAGATAGCCCCTTTTCGGAATTGGATAGAAGAAACACATATACCTCCTAAAGCTTGAGCCACGTCTTCCCGCCCACACTAGGAAGGATGTCAATTCTCTGTGTGTGACTCCCTGCATCCCCAGGGAGGCCCCAGCAATAGCCCACAGAGTCTGCTCCAGGAACGATTCCTTGGTCACGCTGTGTGAATCGCATCCCGGCAGCCTCCGAGTGTTCAGCATATCTCCTCTCCCGTGGAGATGCGGATTTTCTGTGTCGGCCGACCTTTTCAGATTGGGTGGCTGGGTCACTGGGAAGAGTTGAACGGGAACCTGTTTGAGAGAACACCCAGGGACTGTGTGCACGGGAAGTGTGTGTGTGTCGGGGGGGAAACAGGACCCTTCTGGTCTATGCAGTCAGAACAGGACACAGATGTGTGGATCGGTGTGTGTGTAGCTCACTGGGAACAGGGTGCCCAGCCCTGTGTGCTCTCACAGGTCCCTGCTCTTAGCTCACACTACAGTTTGATCTCTTTCCCGCTGCCCTCTTCCCAAGCCTGTTAGCTTCAGGGCTTTCTCTGAAGGCCACAGGATGCCGACGTTTCTGCCTTACCTGTTTCATGACCCTCTGGGATCCAGTGACAGCCTGCCACCACATCCATCAGAGCTGGCTTCCATCGCTGTGTGACCTCAGGCAAGTCAGGTGACCTCTCTGAGCCTCCACGACTCCATGCTTTATTTAGCAATGGAGGAAAAAAAAAAAAAAAAAAAAACCTCGCCTTGAGTGTCAGGCTAGTTTGCCAGGCCTTCAGTTCAGTCAATGTGCGTGTCTCTGTGAGGAGACTGAGAGGACCCAGCCCTGCTCTAGGGAAGGTTAGTTCATTGGACCTTGGACTAAGTGGCTGGTGGCTTCCTAGGAAGGGCCATTTGTGTTCATGCCCTACCTGCTTGGTCTTTTCCTCTAACAGTGATGCATTCTCCCTGTAAAACATCCAGGGAAAAAGTCCACACACCTCTTCTCTCAGAGGGGTATCTGTGTGTATACACATGTACATGCGTGCATTCGTGCATGGTATGAATGGCCCCTCCCAAGCCTGAGACAAGTGCATGTCAGGACCACTTTACTTACCCTTCCTGTGACATATTTGTGTCCCCTGTCATTTTCTTGCCTCCAAATCCCCCTGCTTCAGAACCTCTAGGACTAGAACTCTGAGCATAGCATGCCGGGCTAGCGTTGGCCTGGTACAGCCCTTTCTGTAGCACTGGTTAGATGGGGTGTTCAGATCCTAACAAACCCCATTTCCAGCACCTCCCTCTTAAGATCCTTGGCAGCTGCCTGTAGCCAGCCCAGCTCGCTTCTATGGGGGCTTTATGCCCTTCTCTGGCCTCTGACCTTTGTCTCTAGGCCATCCGGCCTCAGGAGGAGTCGAACGTGACAGTACCGCCTTTCAGTGGATCCTGATAGGTCAGAAGCCACGGCCATGGTCACCTGTGTGGGCGTTCACTTGGTATTTGACATTTGAAATAAGGCTGGATTTTTTTTTTCCTGTCCATTGGTGTCCATGCGCCTTCTATGTTGCCCAGTATAGTTTGGTTCCTTCAAGAGGAAGCCATGTACTGGTGTAGGGAACTTTCTAGAAGTCAGCCAGCATCGACTTAAAGGAGCCGCTGATATAGGAGTGTCTCTGTTCAGAGTGAATGGAGGGTGACTGGTGAAGGCCCAGGCCTGCATCAAAGAAATCAAGACAGAGTTTCTTGACATGTTTAAAAGTCAGGACATCAAAAGATTTTTTTTATAAGGTTTTATTTTGAATTGTGTGTACCTGTGTGTGTCTATGTGTAGGTCTATGCACATCGAGTGTGGGTACCCATAGAGGCCAGAAGAGGGCATCAGTCTGGAGTTGGAGTTACAGGTGATTGTGAGCAGCCCAATAGGGGTGGTAGGATTTGAACCCTGGTCCTCCTGCAAGAATAGTACATGCTCTTCTCAGCTCAGGCACCTGACATCAAAGTTTGAAGCAGAGCCAAGGCGCCCTGCACTTTTCTGTTTTTCCTTTTTCAAGACAGGGTTCCTCCATGTAGCCCTGGCTGTCCTGGAACTCACTCTAGACCAGGCTGGCCTCGAACTCAGAGATCTTCCTGCCTCTGCCTCTTGAGGGGTGGGATTAAAGGTGTGGCGGTGGCACCTGCCTGGCTCACCCTGCACTTTCAAAATCCTGGTCCTTAATTTGTTCTCTGGTCACCTTCAGTGGCCTTCCAGAAGGTTCTCTGGGTGCTATTGAGAGTTTAAAAGGTTAGGACTTTTTCTAGAGAGTAAGTGGTATCCAGTAGGCTCTAGCACCCAGCACTGGGAATGGCCATCCTGTCCCTCACATTCCAGAGAGGACTGCCACCAACTTTATTCTGTGAAAGACAGTAACCATTCCTAATTAAAGGGCTCAGGGTGCAGTTTTTTTGTGTGTCCCATTCAAGCAGCCAAAGCCCCAAGATCATTGCTAAGTGACATAGACATGGGACGTATGCTTTTCCAGTAACAGGGCTCAGCTTGCCCCTCCACTGTGACAGCCTCTGGGGCCACCTCACTCTCTTCCGCCATAGGGCCTTGTACCCTGCTATTCCCTCTACCTGCAGGTCTGTTGAAGTGCTGTTTCCTCTGAGAGGCCCTCCCTGATTGACTGGCACAACTGCCTCTGATTTTTTCCGCTGGTGGTATCTTTGTTGAGCCCTGGCTCATTGGGTGGTTCTGAGGGCAGAGCTGGTTACACCTGTGTCTAAATCTAGGCACACCTCGGTTGACTTGGCCAACCTACAGAGGAGGATGCACCTCTGGGGGCCACTGTGAAGCTGGGGTCCCTCCCTCTCTTTGGCAGACATGGGGTAGATGGCCTAGCAGAAGTTACTCGTCTCCTTTGCTATGAGCCGTCCTGACATCTTTGTAAATAATCCGCAGGTGTCTGGGCCTCTGTGTCCAGATGCAAGGCTGGAGGCAGGTGGTGGGTGGGATGCTCTTCAGTCCCTGCCAAGAAAGCAGGCAGAATGGGAACCATGTGTTTTGCTCCTGTGGTCAAGTGAGACAGGGTGGGCAGAACCCTGTCTCTGAGTGAGACCATTTAGAACTACGGTTCTCAATCTGTGGGTCACGACCCCCTCCCTTGCAGAAGGCCCAACACCCTTTTCACAGGGGTTACCTAAGGCCATCGGAAAGCATAGGTGTTTACACTCTGGTTCATAACAGGAGCGAAATTACGCTTAGGAAGTAGTGACAAAAATAATTTTATGGTTGGGGGAGTCACCACAAAGGAACCCCCCCCCCTCAGACAGCAGAAGGTGTTAGGGGAGTCTGGAAGTGCCCCTGCTCCCCTCCCCTCCTCCCCCCCCCCTACACTTTTGGGCAACTTCCTAACCATCTCTGTGCCTCAGTTTCACTCCAGAAAATGGTGAGCGTCGGCAAGCACGCACTCCCAGGCAGATTGCGAGGATTAAACACGTTGGTGAGGAGGAGGGTCTGACAAAGGGAATGCCAGCTACACACCAGGTGTCCTTCATTCCCTGGCCCAAGTGGCCCTAGACTTCCCTGTCCAGACAAATTCACCGGAGCAAAAGGAGAGGAGCACCCTGGTGGCCCCTAGGGCAGATCTTGACCCTGGGTTTTTGGATCATTCGGTCCCTTACTGTAAATACCCTCCCTCCCCCCCCCCCCAAAAAAAAACACACAGGTTGCTGAAGGTGGGTGCTTTGCTTGGGAACTCAGGCCAGGTGAGGGACGCAGCAACCTGCAATGGCCCGGCTGAAGGCTTAGAGTCCTTGCTAAGGTAGCTGTGGACCCAAGTCAGCACCACCTGGGGTGGGGGGCAGTGGCTTTTGCAGGCTGGAGACTTTGCAATCCTCACCCTGCCCTGGCCCAGTGGGTGGCCGGGGGCGGGAGCGAGAGGCACAGGCGGAGGAGGGCGGGGAGGGGGCGGCGCCTGGGAAAGGAGGCTCAGCTGGCGGCTGGAGGCGTTTGCCTCGGGAGCAGGTCTCAGCTGGAGCCGCAGGCCGGAGCCTCCTTGTCTCTCCTCTGGCCCAGTGGTGGCGGGGACCCGAGCTGCTGGGGTCCGAGCCCCGCGCCCGCCAGTCATGGTGGGTCACCTGCATCTGCAGGCCATGGGGGGCACGCGGGAGCAGAGCCGCGACGGCTTGCTGGACAGTCCCGACTCAGGACTGCCCCCCAGTCCCAGCCCTAGCCCGCCCTTCTACGCCCTGTCGCCGGGCACGCTGGACACCCGTGCCACCACTGAAACTCCAGCGGTAAGACCTGGGGATCCGGCAGTGGGAGGGCCGTGCAGAAGCCAGCATGGTTTCATCCGTTCTGAAGCAGACATGGAGTTGCACTGGGCTCACCAGGACCTGCAGGGTGGGAGTTTCGGGGTGATTTCTGGCAGAGTCCCCAAAGTCTACTGGCTTACAAGGGCAGCCTGTGGTGGCTATCTGTCCGTAGGTCCCCTCGCTGCTGCCACCTCCTACCTTGTTGACCTCCCAGAGCTGCTAAATGGGAGCATTTTTGCAAACGTAGCTCAAGCGGTCATGGGCTTCCTCTTGTGGGTGTAGAAGTGGAACTGTCCCCGAAACGGGGACTCTAGGAGTTGGACACGCTTTGCTCAGGTTGTTCTGCCGATGGAGCAGAGGGAGCAACTTGAAGAAAGGACTGGCTGAGGGTTATACAGTGGCATGTCCCCGAACCCTGCTGGCTTGATGGCCTCCGCTGGGCGTCAGGACCCTCCCGCCAAGGTGTACAGGGCGCTAGAAGCCTTTGAGACTCTAATGGACATCCTGTCTATGACCTTCTCCAGACACTGAGCCGATCCAGGGCACAATTTGGTTGTCCGAACTTTTCTTTAAATCTCCCCAGGTGACTCAAGCCTGCAAGGAAGTTTGACGCCTGTCTTGAATTGAACGTTCTGTGTCTCTTTTGGGAGGGTGGGTAGCCTGACTGAGGACTTCAGAAGTTAACATAAGTGAGCGATACTGTTCTCGTGGGGTTGGGGGAACTTGGAGCCTTGATAGGCCGGCACTTTGTCTGAGGAGGATCACCTGGTACCAGTGTGTGTGTGTGTGTGTGTGTGTGTGTGTGTGTGTGTGGTGGGGTGGGGGAGAAATTCCAGGGAATATTTTGGGGGACAGAAGGCACCAGGAAGAGGTCACTCCAATTCCGTGTGACCCAGAAGCCTCCTTCTGCAGGGCACTCTGCATGCTTCCCTTGTCTTCCAGGCCAGCCTGAGGCAGCTGTGAAGAACAGCAAGCCTGGCTCTGATGCTGTTATTGCTTCCTTTCCCGGCTAAGTAGCCGCCAGCTAGGAAGCTATTGTGCCCTGGTCTGTGACTTTGTCTGGGCAGGGAACCCTGGGGCCATACTGAATGACACCTGGTCAATGCCATTTCCCTCATGCCAGGGATGGCTCTCCCCACTTCTGTGTTGAATCCTCACAGTTCTGTGCATGCTTGCCTGCCTTTGCTCCCCGTGTTCTGGAGGAAGTCGAGACACAGAGATGGTTAGGAAGTTGCCCAAAGCTGCCCAGCAGAATGGATACAGAGAACCTGGCTCTGGTGTACATTGAAGTCTGCCCTGGTTCTCACTGTGTAGCAAAGTTAACAGCCTTTTGATTATTTAAACAGAAAAATTAAATGTGTAGCCATAGGGTCCAGGTGCTGCTCTTCATCATGAGAGGAGGTAGTAGCCATGGCAACCTCTCCTCAGGATTGGGGGCCCAATTGTGGCCTCACCCACCTACCCATCTTCCAGTTACTACCCACTAGGGTCCCCACCTTCTTGAGTTCCATCCTTCCTTACTCTGTGATCAAAACGCAAGCATCCTGTTCCCCTCGGAGGCCTAGCTGTGTAGGCAGGCTGAAAATTGCCAATCAACTGGTTGATCTACTGTGTGGGGAGAAAAGGCTGCCTCTTGGGGAGCCAGTTTCAACTGGAAGAAGCTATAGGAAGGTGGTCAGGTGTCCCCTGGTGTCCTCACATAGAACTGCCATACTGGGGAGCAACAGTCACCTCCACTGTGTGACAGAGCCAGGAGTGAATGGCTACCTTGTATGTAGGTTGACTGCTAGGGACAGTCAGGGAACGCTGCTGCAGAAAACCAAAGCAAACCATGGAGTGGATTTTAGGCGGATGGGGCTGAAATGTGTCTCAGTCTAAGAGGATGACACATGCCAATGTCCTGTGGCAGAGGCTAGAGAAGAGGAGGAGGGGGTCTGGGCCAGGCTCTGGTAGGCTAAAAACTAGAGTTTTGTTTTCTTAAATATAGACTTGTGTCTTTCTTTCTTTTTTAACAGTAACATGCGCTCCCAGGACGCCTAGATTAGAAGCCTCTTTCAGAGATGTAACTGGAAAGTGCTTGTGTGGGTTGCAAAGTGGCAGTGTGCTTGCCCATGTGTGTGTGTGTGTGTGTGTGTGTGTGTGTGTGTGTGTATTTTGCCCTCCCACATGGCCCCAAGAGAGCAAGATGTATTGGCTGGAATGGGGGCTGTTTGCCTGCTACCTTCACCCCAAGAATGCTCAGCCATCCAGGCAGGACTGAGCAAAAAACAGCTCTGCCACCCTGGGCTCCCAAGCAGGACTTCTGTGTCAGAGGATAAACATCGGGTGGCCCCCAACCCCCATACTTCCATCACAGAGCCGAGGTGTGTGGGGCAGACATGGCAGGGAGCCAGGTCCTGCTGGCCGAGAACAGGTCTACGTCAGAAACCCCACTCCCGCCACTTCACAAGCAGTTTGGGCACTCCCACCCCCACCGCCAGGTACCCCTCCTCATCTAGTTTATGGCCCATGGGACAAATACAGGTGGCTTTTGGGATCTGGCCTGGGGCAGCTCTCTGGGTATTTGCTTAGACCACAGTCCCCAGTGTGTGTGGAGGCGGGGCTCACAGTTGAATGACAGAGGGTGACAAGAAGCAGAGTGGGTTAGACTCCGCCTCCTCAGGGTCTCCTGGTGGATTCGTAAGAAAGCCTGGCTTCAGTAAAGGAAGTGTGCTCCTGATGACACCCTGGACTATGGGGGGGGGGCTGCTTCCTCCCCTAAGGTGGGTACGGAGCTGGGCCCTGGTCTGAGCAAAGAGGCAAGGATGTGGTGGATATGATTCCTTTGGGGGCTTTCTGTTGTGTTTTATAAACAAGAAAAAGAGTATGGTGAAGTGGGAGGGGTCCCTCTGCCGGCCCAGGCTAAGACATCCCTTCCCCCTGAGGTACCAGCCACATGATGGGTATAGTATAGAATAGAATTTATTTAGGGCATGGGGAGGGGGTAAGGGAAGAAGGCAGGCCAGGAACATGTGGAGAGGGAGGGAGGGAGAAGGGGCAGAGAGTCAGAGAGCAAGGAGGGGCCAAACAGCTTCTTTTATAGTAAGCCAGGAATACCTGGCTGTTGCCAGGATTCAGGAAGGATGGATGGACAGACAGTGGATAGAAGGACAGAAGGATGGAATGGACAGTGGATAGACATAGAAGACAAGACTCAGTAGACCCATAGCCTGGGCAAGCTGTCTATATGGATTCCTGTGGAAGAGAGCCAGTGTGTGGGGTGGGTGGAGGAGTCTATTTGCAGAGGGAGTCGGGGAGGCAAGCAGATATGCCAGGGCCTCCTTCCAGCCAGGCCTGTTTAACCCCAGTGGTGGCTTGGTCTCCACAGCCCAGGGTCCCATGGTTAGGGCACGTCCTGGGAAGAGCCTCAACTGGAGCTTCAGTGTGAAGAGGGGACAGGCCACACCCTGACAGGTATCTAGGGACCCCACAAGCAGCCACCTTCTGGGGAAAGCACCACAGATGGAGTCGGTTGGGATGGCTGCCTCTAAAGTGCCACAAACAGGGGTGGCTTAGAACAGAGGCCATTCTCTCATGGGTCTGAAGGCCATACAATCAGAATCAAGGCCAGAGTAGGGATCCCCTCTGTGACTGGAGAAGACCATTCCTGGTTTGTAGTGGTAACCCAAATCCTTATGTCCAGTAACAAATCTGTGCTTTCTTGTGGCATGGTGTGGCTTTTGGGGGGATCCCTTGGCTGTGGCTTTGGGGTGCCTTGTGGCGTGCTGGGATACAGTAGCAATATCTGCTATCATCTTCATCTGACTCTGATCTTATGTCCCTGTTTTTTTGTTGTTGTTTTTGTTTTTCGAGACAGGGTTTCTGTGTGTAGCCCGGGCTGTCCTGGCACTCACTCTGTAGATCAGGCTGGCCTCGAACTCAGAAATCCAGCTGCCGCTGCCAACCAAGCGCTGCAGTTAAAGGCGTGCGCCACCACTGCCTGGCTTATGTTCCTGTTTCTAAGGATACTAGTCAAACAGTTAGTGGCAACCTCACACCTATAGAGACCCCATGGAACATCTAGCCACAGCAGGGGGTCTGGGACTCAACTATCCTTGTGGGGACAGTCAGTATCACCAATCTTTCTGGCTTGCTGTGGGGACTCATCGCGGTGGCCTCTCCTTCCAATTGCACTGCTCTATGGCTGTTTCTGAGGTCCCGGCTGCCGCCATTAACAGCCCCTGCCTCCTGCAGGGAGGACAGGGATTTGGGCTGTTATGGCCCCTCCTTGCTTCATTTCCTCCTGGGCCAAGGTAGACTTACCCCAAACCTGTCACAAACATATTTGATATGCAGCTAACGGCAATCAGGGGTTTAATTCCAGCACTTAGGAGGGTGAGACAGGAGGACAGCTGGGAGCTCCAGGCCAGCCTGGTCTATAGAATGATACTCCATTTACAACAAAGCAGCTGCTGCCAAGGGGTGTCTTTGACCCCGTGCAAAGTCTCCAGGTAGCATTGTGCGTGGGCATGGGGACAGGAGCGCAGAGGTCCCTCCAGCAGCAGCCAGTGGGGCTGTTCCCCTCCTTCACGGATATAACGATTTCCATGGGCTATGGTGCTGTTTTGGCCCCAATGGCTATACCCGCTTTGTGTCTTGGTTCAGCTAGGCCAGACCACCAGCAGGTGGGGCTGTCTCTGTATGGCACCTCGTTCTCTGCCATGGTGTGTTATCGCTCCCTGTGGCTTTGGGTTTTCCCAGGGTGCCAGGCCCCATGTCACCCCATCTCCAGCCAGCCAGTGGTGTTTACCATCACTGGGCTGGGCAGTCAGTGGCTCGTTATGTTCAGAACTTCAGCCCTTTGCCCTGTTGCTCTGGTCCCCACCTCACCGCTATCTGACCAGGAGTTAGTCAGTTGCCCTGGTCTGCCCATGGCTCTCTGCACTCAGGAAAGGGCTGGGATCAGGGCCAGCTAGGGGGTCCATTAAGATTGGTAGTTGCCCTCAGACCTTTCTTTCCCTCTATCCTGATGTCCCAGAGCTGTAAGGGGACAATGAAATCCCTGGTAACTGGCCATCCCTCAGCCCCAGTGTAGGTCCCATTGCAGTCGGCACACTTCAGGTCACAGATGCACATTGACGCCCTGCCAGCTTGCAGGTCTCTCACCTTATATGTATTTGTGTACCATATACATGTGCAGTACCCACAGAGACCAGCAGGGGGCATCAGTCCCCCTCGAACTTGAGTTAGGTGTTTGTGAGCCACCACGTTTATGCTGGGAACTGAACCTGAGCCCTCTGCAAAAGCAGTAAGTGTTCTTTAACCATTGAACCGTCCTGCAGCCCTTTGGAGAATCTCTCTAGATTAAAACGGGGCTCCTGAACCCCGGGTGGCCGCCCGGCGCTAGAGAGGCCCAGTGAGGCAGATGCTGTGAAGACTACAGTGTAGACAGCCTGGAGCTATGTGCCCACCCTGCATGTCACCTTGGTAATAGTGCCTACCCCCATAGAACTGTACCCTAACCTCTGGGTGAGTGCAATGTTTCTTACTCATGCACATTGAGCTTTTCCTGTGGGATCTGCGGGACAGCAGGCTCTACAGGCTGGAGGGCGAGACGTTCTCAAAATAACCCTGAGCCAGAGTTTTGATTGCAGAAATCTACAGGGAGTAGCTAGGGCTGCCACCCATTTCCCTTGGTATCTAGCCCTGGAATCCTACAGGACACGTCCAGCCGCCCTGCCTTAACCCAGTGGACACCTGGGCTCTGTCCTATCTCTCGGTGCTTGCAGCCTCCCAGTGGGCGGCTGAACTGTTTTTCCAGTGTCGCCCTTGGGAGAGCTGGCTCCCTCCACTTGAATTGGGCTTTGTCTAACTGACTGGCAGAGTCCTGCACAACATCCGGCTGGAACGGGGCTGCTGCAGGTTGGTCAAGGCCCAAGAAGCAGCCTCAGGAGTGTTGGGTTCTCTTTTTTTACCTCTCGGTCTGTCTTGAGGTTCTCATGTAGCCCTGGATGGCCTTGGATTTTCTACGCATCTGAAGATGCCCTTGAATTCTGATCCTCCTGATTGCACCTTCTGCCTGCTGGGACTGCAACCCTCCCCCTACCCCCCATCCCCATCCCGTTTATGGGGTTCTGGAAGTAGAGGCCTTACGCATGGTAGGCAAGCATTCTAATGCCCTGGCTAAGACATTAAGCCCATCAGCCATTTTATTTCATTCCAAGATGAACCAAAGAGAGGCAGCGGGCTGGGGACATGCCTCCAAATGCCTACATCTAAAGCCTGAGTCCGAGTTCACACTCTTCCTTTTCCAAGGCCACAGGGGACCTAGTGCTGTGCCCAGGGCACAGGAGCTAACCAGCAGAGTTACCTCCTGCATTTGCGGAAAACACCAAGCCACAAACCTCTAGTATTATTTCCATACGCACCTCCTCTGGGAGCTTGGTGGCATGGATCAGTGCTGATGTCTCTTGATCCTGAGGCTGTATGGGGTCCCATGGGGGACAGGTGACTCAGGCACTATATCCATTAATCCCACCTAGGGTGCTGGTTTGTGAAGACAGTCATGCCCCGCCCCCATGGGGTCATGCACAGGCTTATGGGTACCCCTGTCTGCCCCCGCCCCGTTCTCAATTACTGTGAGTAGTATACAAATAGAGAAACCCCTCCCCTCTGCCATTTCTTCTCCTAGGCCACTTCCCTCTTCCAAAATCCCCCAGCCCTGGAGATGAGGTCGAGGCTGCTGCCCGTGTTCTTTGGGGAGAGCATCGAGGTGGACCCAGAACCTGCACATGAAATCCGGTAAGTAGGCCAAGAGCGAGGTGGGTGGGTCCTAGCCCGGGGAGCATCTTGAGGACCCGGGTGCAGGGTGTGGGACAGGGCCCACCTAGCTGGAGGGAGGCGTGGTCAAGTCTGGCTGTGCGCAGACAGCCGGCTTGGACCTCCATAACTCTTACCCCCTGGTGCTGCGTCCTCTGCTTGGTCTCAAGCCAGAAACCATGGAAGTGGCATTTTTGTCACGATTGGTCCCTCTGAAGGGGGAAACACCCACCAGGAGGGACTGTGGGGACTTTTATAGGTTTTCTTATGGCAAAGTTGGGGGCATCTGCTCTGCTCTCCCACATGGTCTTTGACATTGTTGGCCCCTGAATACTGAACTATGCTCCAACACCACATATATGTGACATATGGTCACAATCCGCTGCCACAAAGCCAGCACCCAAATAGAACCTATCATCCCAGTCGTATCCTTTCTTGTCTTTTCTCCCCAATTTAGGGTCCGGTTGTCCGTGCTGCTTATCATTCTTTAGTCTCCCATCTGGGATTTTGACCTTTCACCTTTGACCCTTCACGTCAAGGTCAAGAAGAGGGTTCTGGGTAAAGGTTAGCAACCGACGGTGGTGGGCAACTCACTCCCTTCATTTCTGTCCTCCCCAGCTGCAACTCTGAGGTCACCTATGCCTCAGAGAGATACTTCCGCGACAAGATCTTCTACGCTCCGGTGCCCACGGTCACAGCCTACAGCGAGACCATAGTGGCGGCGCCCAACTGCACGTGGCGGAGCTACCGCAGCCAGCTGACCCTGGAGCCCCGCCCACGGGCCCTGCGCTTCGGAAGCACCGCCATCATCTTCCCCAAACTGGCCCGCAGCTCCTTCCGCACCACGCTGCACTGTAGCCTCGGCCAGCCACGGCACTGGTACTCCTCCAGCCTGCAGCTGCAGCGGTGTGGGGACCCTGCACCCAGTTCCAGTGGCCCTGATGTACTCTGAAGAGCCCAGTGTCAGAGGAGGAGCTGAGTGTGGGAGAGGTCCAGGAAAGATGGCCAGGCTACCACCACAGGCTAGGCTGGCCGTGCCTGAGCTCTTGCCTAGAGGATCCCGTGAATGCATCTTTCATTAGCCTTATACAGGCTCTGTGGGCTCATGGGCAGGGCCAAGCATGTCCTGGTGTGCCCTTGAGGCAAAGACGGCCCTATGTACCACAGGACACAGGGCACTCAGCCACGGTCTGGCTCGAAACCTCATTCTTGGAGAGGCTCGTTTCCAAAATAGGTCATTAAAAAAAAAAAAAAACCGCTCATCCCAGCTGAGAACCGCAGGTGCAGAGGGCAGAGCTAGCTTACCCTGAACTGAGATGGGAGAGGCTGGGGGTACCCTGAACACATAGTCTGCTGTGCAGGGCGGCCCACGTGCCCCCACGAGACGCATCTCTTGAGCCTCAAAGCTCTCTGGCAGGTGCTCAGGGAGGCTTCAAAGCAAATGACGGGACATGTCCAATAACTGCCCATGGCTGACTCTGGACTTGAGCCTACCGCAGGGCTCAGAACCGCAAGAGAAACCGTGTTGGATTTTCTTGGCCTCCCGTCCTTACTTAGCATGGATTCTACAACTACGCCAGTTTCGGCTCTTGCTCACAACCTGGTGCTGTCCCCTGGTGCCCAGGCTAAAACAAGTCTCCGAGTTCACTTAGAGGTGAAGATGTCCCTTTACCTCAACTGTCCAGTAGCTGGAAACCTGCCTCCTGCCTCCATGGTGGCCCAGAGGGAAGGGACGCTCTTTGTGGAGCAACTAGAACTCAAATGATTGATAGATTTCTGTCGATCTATTAGCTTAGCCGAGGTGCCCCCCTGATTAAAGAACAGCTTAAGAAATTAGTGAATTATCTTAATAAAATGTACCCGCACAGCCGGGATGCTTTGTTTCTGAGATGCCCCTGGGGTGGGGGAGGGAACCTGGATATGCCTGTACCCACTTTTCTTCTCACCTGGCATTAGGATCAGAGGGAGCCTGGCTTCCCTGCTCCTGGGGGGACAGGGAGGAACTAGAGATTGATTCTCCATGTATGACAGCCTCTGCCTCTTACCCCAAGAGCCTCCCGTGTACTAGGCAAGGGCTCTATCACCAATCTACAGTCATAAGCCACAAGTGATTTCCCACACTGAGGGCTCCTACCTGTTTTAAGAATATAGGGTCCCTAAGATGGCAACTACAATGGACGGAGCTTGGGAAAGCCCCACAAGGACGGATTGGATGGACCAACCACAGGGGCTTGTAAAGCACCACACCCAAAGTATAACCCTCAGACGGTCACCTGTCCTGTGGTCATCCAGGGGACCTAGAGATTGGGAGAATGAGGTGCCAGCTCTGAGCAGATCCAGTCCCAGCCCTTGGGGGCTTGCCACCCTAAGGTGATGTTCCCAGCTGCCCTGTTCTAGGATGCTTTGTGTTAAATGACTGGCCCTCCAGTACCAGGCAGGGAAGACCCTAGGGTATCCCCAGAGTGGCACCTGCCCCAGGGTAGTAAGGCTGACAGTAATCACAAGTGCCCTTTTTTGTTATTTTTGAGACAGGGTTTCTCTGTGTAGCCCTGGCTGTCCTGAAATTCACTCTGTAGACCAGGTTGTCCTTGAATTCAGAGATCCATCTACCTCTGCCTCCCAAGTGCTAGGATTAAAGGCACACGCCACCGTGCCCAGCTTGTGGATAATGCTTCTTTATGCTGCAAAATGTGTGGAAAAAAAAAATCTGTAGTACTCGTGCCTGTAGTAAACGTGATGAATCCTTCTCACCAGCCAGACTTGTGCCCTGGCCCTCTGGACACCTCGCCGTCTCCCTGGGCAACAGAGAACCTCAAGTCTCCAGCCTATTCACTCACCCTGTCGTCAGTCACAGCATCTCCAAAAGGAGTGGGGCGAGGGGGGAGGGGGGAGTGCCCAGGAAGGGTGTGGGCTAGGGACTCGAGATCCCACAGCTCCCTAAAGAGTCTGTCCTGACTGAGGTTCTTTTGTTGGCCCTGTTAACTTCACTTGGCATGGTCTCGGATCCCTGGACTAGCTGCCAAGGATGAAGGATGTGTATCCTTCTACACGGGCCATGCATGGCTTTCTTCCCTCAAGCTCCTAGCAACCTGTACACCTTGTAACTTAGCTTGTCCAAAGCCAGGAAAGCGTGGAGGTGTCTGCCATTACCACAGCCGGTCTATAGACGGGCAGGCTGGTGGAGACACCCCCAAACTCTACTGGCCGCTTAAGGGCCTCTTAGCACACGTAACCCTTGCCCTTGAGCCTCACGAACCCACCTTGTAGCGTGTTCTACACTAAGCTTGGACCTCTCTCTCCACCCTCTTCTTCCTCTTTGTAAGCCCAAACCGCTTCAATTTTAGAAAGGCAGACGTGATTTTCGCCACAAATTCCTCTTCCCCACCCTGGCTTTTAAGAGCCTCTGGCTAGCCCCTGACTCACTTTTCTCGCACAGCCTGTGTCCCCCACAGCCTGTCTTTTGAAGGCTGCCACTTCTAGGAAGTCCCCCTTGACTGCCCTGGTCTGTGTTGTTTCTGAGTGAAAGCCAGGGGACTAGTGCCTATCTGACCAGTGGGCAGAGCTCTCCTTTGGGGGAAGGGGTCAGGCTATATCTGGCTTGATACAGGTTTAGCTCTCTCTGTATTAAGAGACCCAGAGAGAGCATGGGTGTTCTCAGAGAAGGGTGGACCCCAGCTGGACTTTGCGGTATGCCCAGGTGTCTTCCTGGGAGATGTGGGTGAGAGAAGTCATGTGTGCCATCATTTTAAAGGTGGGGCAAGGGCAGGCTGGTTACAGCTAGTGGACAGAAGAAACATTCCAAAGGCACAAAGGCAGAGTCACAAGCACTGCCTCCACTTCTCTTCATGGTCTGCACCTCAGAAACAGACAAGGGAGACATGCTTTCATGTCTGACAGGCAGAGATGGGGCTGGAGGAGACAATGGGGTAGCTGATACCAGCTGTTGTCTGGTGGCAGCCAAGGGACACCACACCATGAAATGGTGTGGCAAAGCAACCTGTCTGTCCAGGTGGAGCTGCCTGTGTCCAGGATGAGGTCCATACCACCACCTGGCTGCTGGCTTTTGTATTGCAGTCTGGACACAAGCTGAGCCCTGCCAGGCCAGCCTGGTACAAGGCCTGCCTGGTGTTTTCCAGGTTTCTGCGCATGTCCGCTCCTGACAGTTACAGGACAAACTGAGGGCAACTTGGGAGTCCCGGGGGATGCAAATGCCTCTCCACACTCTAGCTCAGATATTCCAGCCAGCTGGGGAGGTGCTACTGGGGACAGCGACACACCGGACCATGTCCTTTCCACTCCCCTGAGCCTTCCTAGTGAGACCTCTGCCCATGGCTGCTTCGGATCCCCACGATGCTCTTGGTTATGAAAGCCCTTTCCTTATCAGACCCAATAGGCCCCACTTACCTGCTGCAGATCCAAGGTGGGTTTCATTCTGGAGACTTGAGACCTTTTGTCAAAGCATCCCTAGCTGCCCAGGCTTGGAGCTGAGGATCAGAGCAAGGCGGGCACCTTGGCAGAAAGAGTACAACTCTGCCAGATGAAGACTGTGGTACAGGCCTGCTTGGTTTCTCCCTACACCCCTCTCTTAGAATGGCTGGCCTTTGTGGGCACTACAGCAGCAGCAGACAAAGTGAGTTCAGCCCAAGCCTTTGCAGACCAACAGTCAAACCAGGTCTGGAGCCAGGTGACAGGTCGGGGACAGCAGGCTGGGGCGTCACAACATGTGCAGAGGGTATGTACGGATGGAGAGGCCCCAGGCTGAGGCAGATCAACTGTCTCAGCGTGAAGACTGGAAGCCCTCTCAGCTCTGCTACAAGAGGCAAAGTTATGGTTGGTTTCAGTATTACCCTGTCACCAATGGGGTGAAGTAGGGAGCCTCCCCTGAAGAACTGTTCCCACGGCTTTGATATGGGCGGCACCTTCAGGCAGCAGCCAGATAAAAAGGGTTTACCAGGAGGGAGATCACTTCGCCTTCGCTCAGAGCGGCTGTACCTCATTGAAGCCACTGCCAACCCCGTGACTGACAGTACAACTAAGCATCCCTGGTTGACTGGGGACCAGTGGCTCTCTAGAAACCTTCTGGGCTCCCAGGTACCAGACTGGGACAACTGAGGCACTTTGCCTTGTGGACTCAGTGACTAAGGGTCATCGCCGTGCAGTGAGAGGCAAGCAGTTCTGGAACAACTCTGGGGCATTCAGGTCCAAGGGCCATGTAACCTGCTGAGTTCTCACCATCGTGGGCGGGGCTTGACTTTTGTGACTATTTTAAAGCTCACTCAAGGGGATGATAGAGAGACGGGTTGAGTAAGGTTTTAAGAGCACCAGATGACTTTCCAGACGACCCAGGGTTCAGTTCCCAGCCCCTACGGGGGGGGGGTGGGGGGGTGGGGGTGGTGGTGGCTCACACAACCTGTCTCCAGTCTCATCTTTGCAGATACCAGACACACATGTAGTGAAGATATACATACAGACCAAATATTAATACATGAATTATAAATAAAAATAAAACAAGTATTTTTTTAAAAGCGTATCCTTAATAAATTCTGCTACACACACACACGCACACACACACACACACACACACACACACACACACACACAAAATTAATTCCTCTGAGTAGTGGTTCTCAACCTTTGGGTTGCTACCCCTAAGAGGCTCAAACAATCCTTTCCCAGGGGTCAGGCGTATCAGCTATCCTGCATAGCAGAGATTTACAATTCCTAACAGTCGCAAAATCACAGTTATGAAGTAGCAACGAAAATAATCTTATGGTTGGGGTGGCACCACAACACGAGGAACTGTATTGAAGGGTCACGGAATCGGAAGGGTTGAGAACCACTGCTCTAGAGAACCCTGACTCAAGCAGGCACCAAGGTGGCAGAATGGCTCTGTTTGAGTTTCTTAAGATCAAACCCAAAGAGGTAGCTGTGATCACTTTGGTCAGGCCCAAGAATACTGAGCGCCGCCGACACAACGGGGGAGGGTACAAACAGTGCACAGTAAGAAGCAAAAGTCACCCAAGACTCACGGTATGTACAACTGCTCAGATTTACACTCACAAGCAAGAACAGCAAAGGCTAAACCACAGGGAAGGATCCCGATGCCTACTACGAGACAGTAATCTTCAGCATGTAAATCACTGTGGAAGGGAAGGCTTTGCCCCCTTCACCATAAGCGTCAGTGACTACGCTCCGGTTACAGGTGTGAATCCCCAGAACCTTCTCCAAGGGTATGAGTACCCCCATAGTCACCATATACAGGCTTCCCCGAAAGTGTGAACAACCCCCCCCCCCACTGTACGATGATGATGACCAAGGGTGTGAATAACCAACAGGTTCCCCACCGGTGTGAACATCCAGGCGATACAAGTACCTGGTGGCTTCCTCATATCCGTGAGTCACGCCCTCTGGTTGCACTGTACTCGGGGGTCAATGTTCACAGCCGAGTGCTGACTTGAAGGAACATTCCCCTTGACTCTTGCGGTTACTGGTTGCCTGCTGCCCAGTGAGAAGCAGAGCAGAAACCTTTGTAACTTGAGTATAATTTGCTTTTTAATTGGAACAACATGTGTAAATGACAGAATGCCGCCGTGCACAGAGAGCGGCCACAGAATACGCATCAAGTCCATTCTGCCCAAGGAAGGGAGGGGGGGAGGGCACAGTGCCGTGTGCCGGAGCCCCTGCCCCCCGAGTCCTGCGTATGGTGGGGCCACCGCCTCGGCCGGCACATGCCTCTGGAACAGTAAGCAGAAACCAAAGCACAGCGGCAGTAACACGGTGAGTCCTTCCTTGTGTGAAACGTCTGAATTAACTCATTGAAGGTATCAAAAATATACCCTGTAAGCCAACACCATTTACACCTGCCTTCCC